CTGAATCGGACAGCCTTAGCAGAATATATAGGCAAGCCATGCTGAAAAAATGCTGACAAGTAAACATAGATTATTTGTCAGATGATCAAGCAAAAGTTCATGATCCTCAACATACCCAATTCACAAAACAAAGGAGTTTAATTTAGCTATTAACCTTGGAAAGGTTGGACATGAATCTCTGTAACAAGACACATTTCTGAAACAAGCTTGTAAACTAAAGTCTCAGGAACAGAAGGATCGTTTTCCCCTTTGCTTGACCAGTATGATGCTGTATATTCAGTTCTATCACCAGGCTCCAATGTGTGTAGAATGCTTTCTTCAGGATAGTTATCAGTGCTAGATGCACTAATAGCTTTAGAGATACAACTTTTTCTCACAGGATGAAGACCAGAGGACAAGAATGCATAGACTTTATGATTTCTCTTTAGATACTCCCAATTTACACAACTGCCAGGAGTGTTTCCCAGTGGTTCAATAATGTTGTCAAGCTCAATCATATGAGTAACACCAGATATTTCAGGAAACATTGCCAAGCAAAGTTGCTTGCAAAGGCCATGTTCAAGAACTGCAGAATATCAAGAGTGCATATCAATACCGCGAGTAGAAAAATATGCACTTTTTGGACAAAAAAGCTCAAAGCACTATAAAATTAAATCCCACTACAAGGAAATAAACTAAGAAGGATTACCAAATCGGTGCCAAGAACTAGAAACAGCAGAAACCCTAATAAGATCACAAGGGGCGTCCAAATGGGTCAGAATCTTGACTGACATGTCAGGTCCAAGCAATTGGATGAAATCCATTTTGTTTTTCTCTTCAGTCATTTCCAAAAACCAAAGCCTTAAAGCAGACAGAACAGCTATGATCAATCATCAACACAACACTCAACATAAACTGTAAAATTGGTTATCTGAAAAAGAAAATCTTCAAGCAACCAGCATTACGACTAATTTTGGAAGAATGCAATGAAAAAAATCCACAAACAAGTTGAAAAGGAAAGGCGGTTGCTTTTCTCAAGCAATTAAATTGATGAGCAAATAAAGCTACACCCAAATAACGAAACATTGAAAACATGAAACATGGTAACCTTTTTCTCTGCAAAGAGAGTGCGGATCTGAAGATATGAGAGGGACCCTTTTGATTGTGGATTGAAGAATAAAGATTAGACAGAAGCAGGAGAATGGTAATTCGTTTGGAACAGCTGTTTGTAAAGAAAATAGTGTTTCTAGTTGCACTTGGAGACGATAATAAGTCAACACTTTCTCTAGATTTTTATGAAAACTTCTTCAGAAAACTTAGATAGCAGATGGATAAGACAGAATCAGGATAGAAAAAAATCTTTTTCATTGTTGTTTGATTATTTCCAACAAAATAATACATAGGTACATAAAATAATAAGACAAAACTTATGTAATAAAATACATAATGTTTTTTTATCATGGAAATGATTGCTTTTTGTTATTAAATATGATATAAAATACTAAAATCACGTGTTTATTTACTATTTAAAATACTATCAATGTTAACTTGCATAAAGAATTAAATACAAAATGTATACATTCCGAGGATTTATTTTATTTTATTTCATTATATAATAAACCTTCAATTACCTTAATGTTTTATTATGTATTTATTTTCTTTATTAATAACAAGTTCAAAATGCCTTCGTTTAGAAAAAAAAAAAACAACACAAAAGTTTAACTTGTTTTCACTGAAATATACAAAAAATATAGATAGTTTTAATTTAAAGTATTGTTGAAATTTATAACAAGTTGTTTTAAAACATCTTATATTATTTCTCATCATTTATTAATTTGGCATTACCTTTTGTATCTATCGCTATATTTGAGTTCGATATCTCAAGATCATTCCATTACTTATGTTACATTTATAGAAAGATGACACCACTATTTGAGCGCTGAAAAAGACTGATATCTATATTTGCGAAAAAAGATGTCCCAATAATGAAATTATTTAAATTTTTGTAAATTCATATAATATTTTCAAATATGATTTCATTCTTTATAAAATTTTAAAAATTCTAATCATAAAAGCTTTTTCAAAACATATTTAAAAATCATTAATCCTTACAAAGTCTCCTAAGCTCTAAAAAACTTTTTTTATATATAAAAAAGTCTTTTAAAATTCTAATTGAGTAAAAAAAAATGTGGGATAACATCGCCTAACAAAAGTGAATGTCAAAGGTGAAAGGTAAAGTTGGATCACATGGCCATGATTGTATAAACATACCCATTAAAGTGATTGCCTAACTTATCTTAAAATCATAAGTACAATTTCAGGGTATGTTTAGAAATTTTAGATAGTTTGACATTTTCATTCTTTTATACTTTTATTTAAAAATTACAAATATTATTATTTTGTTTTAAACTTTATTTTTATTATTTAAATATAATATTAAATTATTAAAATAAATTATAAGTAAAAGAAAAAGTCGGTGTCAAGGAATCATTTTTTTATTTTATAAATGTAATTTAATAAAGAAAAGTCTCCTATATTGTCCCTTTGTTCCTCTTCTCAACAATGGTAAGCATCAATAACAGTTTTTAAAACCTATTTTGTATTATTGAAAAATGATAAAGTTGAATCAATAGATACTGGTAAAGGTTAAATTATTTTATTGAATTAGAAAACTAGAACAGATAAAAAAAATTAGGGATTTAGGAGACTAAATAAAAGGAAAATACGAATTAAAATAATAATAATAATAATAGAATAAAATAATTAAATAAGAACTATGAAAAAGTGTCTAGCAAAGAGTTATAACTTATAATCCCAGCCTAGCAAGAGTTATAATTTATAATCCCAGGCTGAGTCTCTTAGAACAATTTTTTATTTAATTATTTGTTTATAATTTTTTTCTCTTTTTAATAAATAATAATGAAACACTTCGTGCATTATGGATGATTTAGAAAAAAAAATACTGATTACTATTGTAAACAAACTTTTAAGATTTAAACTATCATCTTAATTAAGTTTTAAAGAGACCTATTTTTATCTAATAAACTCATAATATTGATCCAAGATACTCTATCAGATAAAAGAAAAATGAAGTAAAAATATACCGAGTAACAGGAAAACAAAATACAGAGAGTTATTATTATTTTATAAAGAAGAATTGGCTAAAATATATAAGGCAATAAAACAAAGAAATTACTAAAATACCTTACAAAGATAAAAGGGATAACAAAATAGACAAAAGTTCTGCATTTCAGAAGAAATTGCTAACAATGTTTTACCTTTTTGATCTCCAAGAGATTAAAGAGTTGTAAAAAAGGATGCATAATTAGTAGTTGATTTTTTTATCTCGACAACATCCCCCATCAATATCAACATAAGCATGTAGTCGAATATCATAATTAATTTTAAAAATAATATCTTATCCAATAGTGTGTTTGAGATACCTAAGCTGAGTATTGACATAAGGATTATAAATAGATTGACTAAATTTATTCATAGTGAAGCATATGTCAATATTAACCAGGATAAGCTAATTTAATTCTAAGTGTGATTTCTATATTTGAGTCCATAAGAATAGTTGCAGGCTTGCATGATAGCATTATGAAGTCTTTCAAAAGAGACAAGGTATAGTATCTTTGACATGTAAATATTCCTTCTTTAGATTTAGATCATTGTAATCTTAAAACAGAAAAGTAAGATTTGTGGTATCTTTTAACCTTAAATGTTTGATGAAGAAGAGTTGTTATGTTTAAAATATGATACGTCTTTACCAAGGGAGAATGTTTCAAGAAGAGTTTTTGTGTAAAATATGATAGGTCTGTATGACAGGAAGATTGAGACACAATAAATTTGAATTTAAATCAAATAAGGGATTGACTTTATCTTTAGTCGGATGTGTGACTTCCAACACATCCCCTTCATGTCGAAGTATAGATATCTCGTGCGTGATAGTAAAAAATTGGGTGATCCGATAGTTGGTGGAATAGAAATGCCTAGGAAACAAGACTCTAACCATGACTTTGATACCATATTAGAAAATAGGCTTTAAGCCTCACTCAACCCCACAAAACTAGCTTGTAAGGTGAGGTTTTGCATCTCACTTATATATTATAATTTGGCTTTATCTCTAGTCGATGTGGGACTTCCAACAATTGACATCACTTTTATTCAAAAACTTTAAGACAATTGGTTTTGGGTCTTAAATCTTTAAGGTGTTCAATTTTCTTATCGCTATCCAATTTAGAACTTAGACTTACACTTGGATTTCCAACAATCTCTTAAGGATTAGTTCTTTGCACATTAGTACACACTCTCCCTCGAGCGAAAACATCATTAACTAAGAGTTATTTTTTCATATCATTGTTTATCTTAACGAGACATACGGACTCGAATCTATTATCAAAAAGACTTTCGATACAATGACCATTTGTACTTATATGAGTCGGTCACAAAAATGAATCATCAACTCTAATACCACTAATGAGTCCTTAAGAAGGGAATTCACTAAGAGACAAATAACATCAATTAAACATAAGCTCAACCCACATAAAAGATTCATAGAATAACATCATTATTAACTCCAACAACGATAATATCATTCATTAAGATAATAAAAAACTTGAATCATTAGTAAACAAAGAATAATTAGATTTAAATTATTTATAATTGTGACAGAGTATAGTATTACTAAAGTGGGTAAACCACCTCCTTGAAGCTTGTTAAGGACATATATACACTCCACAATAAATTTTTAGTTCAAAATTTGTTGATGTGGCAAGTAACGTTGTCACAAATAAACACATGTGATAACACAGTTTGTCATGTTAACAAATTTTTAACATTGTTTGACAATAAATTACATTCATTTATTAATTAAGTTTAAAAATGAAAATGATCCCAAATTTGGAAAGATGTTAAATTATTATTACAACAAGTTACTTCATATAAAACCAAAATACAACCTGAATACTATTTCACACATTTAAATTTATTTACAAAAAAAAAAGTAAAAAAAAAACACAGCTGCACCAATATTATGACACCCAATACAACAACAGCCTTGCTACAAGTAACTCCTCTTCCCAATTCGTGTTCAGGACTTCCTTTATGACAAAAATAGGGTGCCCAAAGTAATTCTTCCTTTGTTTTTTTTAATAAAAGACCCGACAATCTGAAAAATATAAAATAATAAAAATAAAATCTAATCAAACAAACCTAGACCTAATTTTCCTCTCACAAAAGTGATTAACTGAAAACACAATGCCAAATATACTTTCCCCAAAGTAAAAGTGCTAGTAACACCTTCTTTTCAACTTACTCTCTTAATGGTTAAAATTGATTAAGAACTACAAAATCGAGAAAGAAAAAAAAACTCACTAAATAAAAGATTTTCATCTTTTCTTTAATAATTTTTAATAAATTTCAATCAATAAGAGAGTATGTCCAAAAAAATGTGTTCCTAACATTTCTCCCCCTAAAACTGTTTCAGCCTTTCTGAAAACTCCTTTGGGCAAATCACTACCCCATCTATGCAAAGCCCACCTTTGGTGTGCGTGCAATCAATTTGGGCCAAAGAAAACTTGATATTTGTTGGCCCATTGGGCTTCTCAACTGCAAAGTCCCCAACATGATAGTGGGCCCATTCTCCAGGCCCACGCAGATAGGACTGTGAGAGTGAACTCTGGCCGTCAGATGTAGATAGCTGAAATCTGACGGGCTTGATGTCCCATCCATGAACTTGGTCAAGGTTGCACACTCTCCGGCCCAATCTCTTTGTGGGCTTCCCCAATTGAAGCTTGAAAAATACACTATAGTTTCCCTTTGGAAACTCAAACTCTAGCTCTCCTATTACTTCAACCCACCACATTTGTTGAAGATATGCAACACTCTTAAACCTGCATCATTAAAAAATGTTAAACATATAAAATACATCCATTTTAGTAAAAGAGAAACAATGTACAAAAAAAAAATAAAAAGATTTCTGCTATTTTTTTTTTTCATTTTCAACTGAGTTTTCTTAAAATTCACGTCCCAACTCGAAATTTATAGTTACAAGTCCGTTTAAGTATATTTTGAAAACAAATAGAGAAAAAATACATAAAAATCAATGGAAAATCCAAACTCATTTTATTTACTGCCTTTTTTTATATTTTAAAATATATTCATTTATATTAATTTTAATGTTTTAAAATATTTTATAATTTTTTTAATATATTAAAAAATTAAAAACAGAAAAACAATACGAAGAATTAGAATCTAGAATTCAAACAAAAGATGTTTATGTTGTGGTCGGATATATATTGAACTACCATAAGTTAAGCCTACAGATACAATGTTAATTAATTAAGAGTACTTTTCATGGAATAGAAGTCCTTTTTAGCAATTACAGAATATCTTATTAATGCAAGTTGCTTGCTTTGTTGTTCTTTTTATCTAAAAGATGCTGACTAGGAAGAGTTAGTTGACAATAGTCTAAGTTTTAATTATTGATTTATTACTTTTCCAAAACGTCCTTCTCAATCTATTTTTATAGCATTCCCTAAGTGCAAATTGCTTGCACTTTTTTTCTTTAATTTTCATATAAGATGTGAATGGCTGACTAGGACGAATCGCTTTCGTTAATATGGTAAAGCAAATTGCCAAAACCTATTACAAAACAAGGTTCCTCCCTAAAACTTTCCTGTTTCTATCAATACGGTTCAAAATGAGAAATTTCTATGACATATATAAACTGCAACACACTCAAATAAACAAAAAAAATACTAAATTAAAATATTAATTTTTTATTCTTGAAATACCTAAAATAGCTACTATTCTCGTAAAATAAACGTTTTTTATATGTTTTTTAATTGTATTATTATACGACGGAGGCGCCAACTGCACGCAAGAAAAAGAGTTTTGGATTCCATGTGCTGGCTTTGGATTTGTTCAAAAATTCGAAAATGACTTTAACCCAAAAAAATAAAAAGACTCCACTTTTAATTTTACCTAATCATGAAGAAAACAGACTTAATTTTGATCGCAACAACAACTATAAGAAAAATAAATTATATAACAAAAAAATACACAACCAAACCCATTTTTCATCAGAATTCAGAAGCATTTTACAACCTTAATTGCATATATTGAAGTTTCAGTTTCACGTTTTTAGTTATTTTTTGTGTTGGGTTTAATTATATATATACACTTATTAATAATATATAAAAATATACATGTATATTTTTTAACATAATTGCAATGGTAAATTTTCATATAAAATAAATAAAATTCATAAAAATAGAAAAAAAAAACTAAGTATTTTTGTTTAATTTTTGATTACATAGATAAGAATATCTCACCTGGATTCCTCAGTCGGAACATAATTCCAATATCTTCTATCATCTATTCCTGTAATCTTGAAGGCTTTTGAAGAAATGAACAAACAAACTTGTGCACTGCATCTGTCAAGCCATATCTCCTAAATTAACCAGAAAGGAACAAATCAAACTTCTCAATGCAATGAAAAGAGAGAGAGAAATCGGAAACAAGATGAAGAAAAGTGATGAAATTGGAAAGACAACATCTGTATTAACTAATCATCAATCAATCTAAGATTCAGTGGTTCGGTTCCTCAACATCATCAAATTTGATGTCGAAGAACGAAATTACTAAATTAAGTAGTGATGGAATTACCTTGGTGCCATGATCGAAGAAATTGGGTGTGCATAGTTTGGCATAGATCTCTTTCTTGGTGATGGAAGAAAGATTGGTGTGTTGATCAAGTACTTTGTTGAGAAGGAATTTATAGTTTGAGGGCAACTTAGATTCCCAGACAAAGTCAGCAGAAGAAGCTCTGAGGAAGGTCTTGTTCACTCTGGCCAATGTGCAAATCTCTTGTGGATCAAAACTCATCATGAGAGAAGAGATGCAATTCTCAGGAACATCATCAAGGGTTGTCGTCTGTGGGGAGGACAAAGAAAAGGTGCCAACTTCATCATTTTCTGTGGCACTTGTGGAAACACCAGCCCCCATGATTGATTATGCAGAAGAAATTGAAGTTTGGAGTGGAGAATTGAAGAGTATGGTGAAAAGGGTTTGTTCTTGATGCTGTTGATTTTGTTGTTGTTGTTGATTTGTTGTGTTAGATAGTTCAGTGGTAAAGGAGGAGGTGATAGAGCATAAGAGGGAAAGAAGGAGAAAGTGAAGGTGTTTCCATGTAGTTTTATTAGGAGTTTTGGATTAAAGAAAGGGTTGTGGGAAGCTCAGTTTTTGGCTTATAAGAAAGACATTTGTGGTGTGGAATCTTGAAGCAAAACTTATAAATAAAGTGAAAATTATTAGGTCATTCTTCTTTTGGAACATGAAAAAAAAGAATGGTGATTAAAAGTGGACGTGTCCATGAGTGTGCAAGAATATCATATTGGGTGTTGATTAATTGTATCCTAATATATATTCATTATGTGTGGAGACGATGGATTGCCTATATTCTCTCTCTCATATTTCATGAATTTCTTTTTTTTTCTTTCAATTATTATAATATAGAATATGAATTATGTTCATATAGAATTTGAGTTATGTTTAGATCATAAATCCAAAAGTGAATCCTAACTATGATGAAATGTAGAATTTAAAACGAATAATACTTTAAATATTTAAATATATGGTGATGGATTCTAATAATATTTATTGGATGAACTTGAAAATAAAATAAATTCTTTTAATATTAATAATTTTCTTTTAATAAAATAAGTTTACAATATATAAATAAAAAAATATATGAATTTTTTGAAATTGAATTATATTTAAAATTATTTTTTAATATTTTTTTCATTTTTTATATATATTGAGTTTTTTTTCAAATAACGGTAGAAAAGTCTTATTTTATAAAAAAATATATTTTAGATTTATTTATGATAATATTTTTATACTAGTACTCCTCAATGTGATTTTTATTGATTTGATGATCATTAAATAGTATATGTTATTTTTTATTATCTTTATAATTCCTTTTAAATTTATCTATTTCAGTTTTTTGAAATATTTACTCAAAAGCCACTAGGAAATAGAGATGTATGTGAATTTATTTGGAACAATGAGATGATGATATTGAAAGAAATCTAATTTAAAAAATTGTTGATGTTTTTCTGAATCATTGATTTTTCTCATTTCAATTAAATACACTGTCTTTGAATCAATTTATACGTATGTATGATGCATTGTTAAAAAAACTATAAACATGAACATTGGCCATTTGAAAACAAAGCAAAATATTAACATATTGTGTTTAAGAGAACTTTACTATCACCACCCATAAACAAAAGAAATATATAACCAAATAGTCAAAAAGAGACCAAAATAATCATCTTTGGAAAAGAAAACAAAAGGCACAGTTATGAAATCAATAACCCTATCTTAGGATTAAGTATAGCTATTTTTTCTTTGTTCATACAACAAAGAACTTTCATTTAAAATGTAAAAGAAAGAAAAAAAAAATACAATAAAGTCGTGAATTGATTTATGGATTAAAAAGAATGTTCCGGAAACTTTCAGTAAACAATCAAACAAATTAATAACTCACTTATAAATATATAACTAACATAAATTATTTTAATATTTTAATTTATCCTCTTTTCATATAGTTATAAAAAGTAATTAGTTCTATTTGATTTCTTTTATAACTTTTAGATTCTCAACTTTCTCAAATCCTATTTGTTTTCCTATTATAAGTAATGCCTCAAATTTTACAAAAGAAGCCAAGAAATAAATATATATTAAATTGAAAATTAATATGCACATTAAGAAATAAAATTATAAAAATATTATCATAATTAAGTTTTAATTCGATAAAATAAGATGATAAAAATGTTGACAAAAAAACCTTAGTATGTATGTTTTTACCATTATTTAATAAACAAATGAGTCCTTTAAAATTTAAATAATATAAAATTGTATTTTCTCAAGTTGCATTTAAAATAGTATTTACTTTTTGACATGAGAATGTTTGATTATCACTTTTAAGTGTTCAATAGCCTAATCTCTTAATTTATTGGGAAACATAATAAAATTTATTTTTTTATTCTCTTTAATCTTTAGTTTCTGTTTGTTTTTTTTTAAGTCTTTAAATTGAGAGGATGGAAACAAAACACTATAAGAGTGTAAGAAAATTGAATAGGAACATGAAAAAATATTTCTTTTATATTTAAATATGTCATTGTTATCCATTTTATAATGACGGTGATGACAATATAATAATAAGAGCCAACAATAAAACATAATCATTGCATGATTTACATATCCAATACAATGATACCTTTGCATGCCTTTTCGTATGTTGGATGCACTGAATAAGGCTTTTGTAGTGATTTGGAGGAGATGATTTGAATAGATTTGAGTAGATTTCAGAGTAATTTTTTGGTTGTTTTTTTTAGTAGATTTATGGGTAATTGAGAGTGGATTTGGAAGTAAAGTTTGTGAGAATTAGTTTATGATTTGATTGATTTGATAGTTTTTAAAAATTTGTTTAATTGGTAGAAATTAAAGATTACCAAAATGCCCCTAGTTATTAAAATAATGTAAAATGATAATTGTTAATATTATATTTAATTATAAAAATATTTATAAAAAGTAAAAAATTAAAATTAATTTTTAAAAAGTAAAAAAATTATAATTTAGTGAAATGAATACTATTAATACATGACATGCTATTAATAATTTTTTTTTAAAATAACTTAATTAAAATATTTTTTCAAAAGTTAAGATAGAATTAAAACTTAAAAAAAAAATAAAAACTAACTTAACACGGTTAAACTAAAATGGAACCGAGTAATTAGAACTAGAGTAAGGAAAAGCATATTAAAAAGAAGGGCATTTTATAAATAAGAAAAATAAAGTAATTATTGAAAGAAAAAAGGGTTAGCTTAGAAAAGGGTTTTTTCTGGTGAGTAAGGAAACAAGGTGTAGTGAGACCAAGGTGTGAGGTAATATATGGCGATAGCCGGGCAATGCATGACGCAGATGGGGAGCACGGCGGTGGAGAAGACGGAGGAGGTACTCCGAAGCGATGAGCTTCTTTGCCAACAACGTGAGATTTTCTTTCTAATGTTTGTTGATTTTGTAGATTACGGAGAGGCTTCGAGATCCTCGAGGTCTTCGCAGAGGTGCCGTGGTCGGGCCTGTTCTTCAAACTAATGGTGTTGTTCGCCAAACGCGAATGCGTCATGAGAGTTGCGAAGAGGAATTGAAAACTACGATTTTGATTTGAATTGGAATCTCGTTTTGGTTTCAGAAATGCTGAAGTGGTTCGAAGAGGAACCGCTTCTTCCTCTCTTCTTCATCTTCTTCACGGTTATGGCATTTTATAAAAAGATTGAGGGTAAAAAGAACATTTCACCGTGAATCCGCTTAAATCTTTGCAAAACCGCGAGACATGAAAAAATCCTATATCTCGGAAATTTTCGCAAATCGATCTTCGCAAATCCTTTCATGTGAACGCGTTTTTTATCGCAAATTTCCGTGAACAGTAATTTCCCACAAGCGAACACAGGCTAAATGTTCTATATAATTTCATAAGCATACTGTAAACACAGATAAATGGCAAAGGAAACATGAAAAGAAAAGAAAAGAATAAGAATAATTATCTTCTTATTTTTTAAAAATAGATGCACAACTTAATTAACTTTATAATTTTTTCTTTCAAATGAACTCCATGTCATATACATGTAAGTTGAGCAAAAGATAAATTTTTTTCGTTATTTAGTTAGTAATTAGTTAATGGTTAAAGAATAAATAATTGTTTTAATTAGTTAAACAATTAGTGTAAATATAATAACATAATTATATTTTATTGTTGTAATGCTATAGTACCTGTGCATTATTACCATTGGATCAACCCACATTGGATCACCATTTACGAGAAAGTCTATCTATCTTGACAGAAATGGTAAAACAAAATTAACAAAAAGAATAACTATATCAACTTTAATCCTGACTATTATCAAATTGAATAGTGATTGGGTAGAAATTAGATAGATCCTAATCGTAAATTCATTACAAAATCTATAAATACAAGTTTGATATTCAAGGTAGTTGAATACTTTTATTATATATTTATTATCATAATGCTCGGACAAACACTGATTTTAGTATCGAAGTATTGCATGTATCTCCAGCACACCTAATCATGATAAACATGAGAGAGAAAAAATCGAAGACTAAGACATTAATCTAAGCTTAGAGTTTAAAAATTGTTCGTGTAAACCCATAAATCAAAAGTAACATAAGAGATGATACCTAAAAAGTAAAAGAAACAAATAACACCATCTTGAAGTCCTTGAATGACAGTCTCATGGCCAAGCAATTAACACTTTACCATATACATGCACTAGATTTTATTGTGCCTTGTATAAATTATTTATGTATTTTTATATTTTAAAATTAGTTTGTAGTATTAAACTTTGGTATGAATGTTGTTAAGACGAAGAATAGATAATTTGAAAAGGAAAGGGGAGAATGTTATCCAAAGTGGATTGAACTAAATCCATTAGCACTGAAAGTCACATCGGAAGATCAGAAGTTTCGCGTTTGAGTTGGTGTGGAATCAACGTCTCAGTTTCATTTCAACGTTTTAATTTTGGATTCTCAATTTTAATTTTGCAAAATCTCGTGTTCAACAAAATCATTTCATTATTATTATTAGTCATTAAAAAATTCAGCATTTGTCAGCGTATCAACCAAAACTTGTTATTTTAAATGTTTTAAGGTTCATTATGAATTGATATAAAATAAAAAGAGTTTTTTAGTTGCATAAAATTTGTAAAATCAAACGAGACAACATTTAAATTAAATTAAATCAAATAATCCTTTTAAAAAAAGAAATTGTTTGGTGTGTTGTGGGCCGTGGATAATCGATCTTATCCAGTTTCGGTTGCAGGCATAAGAAACATATACTGTTGCTGCTCCTTCCTACGTCAATCAACAACATCAAAAACAAATTTATTCCTTTATATAATACATATATAACATCAATGTTTGTTTGAACGTAAAAGCATAGAAATATTGGTAACTTTTAAATAAAAAAACTTAATGGTCCCATCTTGTTCTTGTATATTTATAGGCGAGTACAGCACAGCAACAAAAGGGACATAGTAAAGTGAAAGATTAATAACTTTTCAATAAAGTAATATTACTTTTATTTTTAATTTATAATTATTACTCTTAAGCTTGGTCGTCTGACACATAAGTTTATCAACAATTCGGTCGAAGTTCACTAGAGTCACGAACCAGATTGCTCCAATTAAAATCGATTTGCTTCAATTTTTAATAATGTTAGACATTATTATATTTCATCTTATCTAAGTATAAAGTCCATCAATTTCCTTCAATTTACATTTACATT